TACTTATAAGTAGCTCCCTCCGCACCGGTAGACATGTCTTGTGCGCTTTCCGACTAAACGGGACAATAAAAGAACTCGATTCAAATCGAGAATACCAATCAATGAATTTCTATATGTCCAACACATATTAAATCACATTCAATCTAATTCTTATTTTCTTTAAAATAAATAAATTGAAATCTGTAACACATTTTTTAATTCACATAACGAAAATAAATACGCATAATATTGTTTTTGTTCTCTCAAAATTGGACAGTGATATTTTTCAAAAAAAAAGTTTTATCATACATTTAAAATGACATAAGAAAAGTGTTTTTTTTTGCATGATGGACATTTTTTCTCTCAATAAAGCTAATTCACTTTCAATAACATTTAAACACAGATTATTATTATTATGAAATGTGGTCAATATATATCTGTTGGGAATTAGAAGACGAATGTCAATCATGCACACATACTACTGTACAATATGTTTTTCAATGCTCTACTTGTTACATCTTTTGAACAATCGAGTAAATGAATACTTGATGATTGAAAATAGAAAAAATTGAAAATTGAACGTTTGAAATTACTTTTAAAAAAATGTTGGTTAGATAATTTTTGAAGTGAAGATAAGGAAAAGTAAACATTTTGTGATATATTTTGTTAAATAAATTCATACACTATTTGATAACTGTTATGTTCGTCGTCATTTGGTACGCTTGAAGCAATTACGAGTTCACCTTAGTCGATAAACGTGTAACGAGACAATGAAGAACCAGCGTCCGGGTAGGCTACCTTGAATCACAAACTGCTAAACAGAAGTCTTGATAAGCGTAGAAAGTAGAAAGTTCTACAACACACAGCAATCACAATACAATCAAGCACAGAACTCTCGTTTATTTATACATCATAGAAACGTCCTTAGGATAGTTACGAAAATAGCACACTAAAATACACAGCAGCCAATCACAGCCATGGATTTTCGTGGTGGGAAATGAAATCTCAAGGTCAAGTGATCAGCCCATGCTGGCAAACGTGAAATCCAACATTAAGGCATTTATCAAGCGAGTTCTGGGGATCTAACATTTCCAACAATAACTGTGTATCAGTTTATCAATGGTATTAGTCGAAATGATAAGCAGATATTTTAATTGTTAAACGAAAAATGACTTGATGAGTTTTGTCGTGTTGAAATTGGAACCATAGAATAGTGATTTAATAGCAAATGCTAGGCAACACTCACTACTTACTACTACTACTTACGCCTGTTAGCCCCAATGGAGCATAGGCTGCCCACCAGTTTTCTCCAATCAACTCTGTCCTGGGCTTCCTTCTCCAGTTCTGTCCAGTGTTTGTTCATTACGCTCATATCTTTCTCTATTTCTCGGCGTAGTGTGTTCTTAGGCCTTCCTCTTTTCCTTTTGCCTTGAGGATTCCATGTGAGGGCTTGTCTCGTGATGCAGCTAGGTGCTTTCCGCAATGTGTCTCCTATCCACTTCCAACGCTTCTTCCTGATTTCCTCCTCTACTGGAATCTGGTTTGTTCTCTCCCACAGTACGTTATTGCTGATGGTGTCTGGACAACGAATCAGAAGTATATGGCGAAGACAGCCGTTAATAAACACTTGTATCTTCTGGATGATGGCTTTGGTAGTTCTCCATGTTTCCGCTCCATACATTAGAACTGTCTTGACATTTGTATTGAAGATCCTTATTTTGGTTTTGGTTGAAAGTTGTTTGGAGTTCCAGATATTTTTCAACTGTAGAAATGCAGCCCTTGCTTTGCCAATCCGTGCCCTCACATCTGCATCTGATCCACCTTGATTGTCGATGATGCTGCCCAGATATGTAAAGGTGTTAATGCCCTCCAAGGCATCTCCATCAAAAGTGATTTGGTTGGTGCATGTTAGGCAACACTCAGCTAACTAGTTATTATAAACCAGTTTGTAAGTAATCTATATCACAATATGGCAAATAAATTCTATACGTTCATAAGAACTACTATCTGATGAGTAAACTGACATTAACTGTCTGTGTTTTTATATGAAAAAAAGGGTTTTGAACTCAGTTTTAAGAGAATCGTACTTTTGTTATATTGATAAGTCTAGTGAGTAAAATATTTGAATGGATATATGAAACGATAACAGGATTCAAATCTTTTTTTGACAGAGATATTTACTGATTTTAACTACGAAAATATTATAGTCTCCACAAATCCTTTAAACCAATCAATAATCGTGTACGCACCTGTAACTTGCTTCAAAATGTTACTCCTAAGGTCCTAGTGTTGTGCACGAAAACTCAGGTGAGGACATCAACAATTTATAAGGATGGTGGTCCAGTTTTAGCCGTTAGATTGACTGAGATCTTAGGTAGAACCTGAGAACTGGGCATAATAACATCTAACGTCTCAATCACTGATTATCTCTGTCTATAAGAAAGGACAAAAGTCCTCTTATGACAATCAGAGATGAATCAGTTTAACTAATATAGTATCTAAAATATTGGCCTCTATACTACTCCGACGCTTAACTAGAACTTGTGAAGAGCAGACTAGATAAAACCAGGCTGGTTCCAGACTTGGACGTGGCTGCATAACCCACATATTCACACTCCTTCAGGTTCTATAACATCGAAAAACATCCAGGCGTCCGACAATAGTTGTGTTCCTCGAACTTAAGACAACATTCGACTCTGTCGAACGAGCGGTTTTATGGCAGTGTCTGTCATTAAAACTTGTACCAACGAAGTACATCAACCTTATTAAAGCTCTCTACTCGAACACTACAGATCGAGTGAGAGCTTATGACGAACTGTCATCGGAATTCTTTACTTCCGTTAGTGTCTGTCAGGGATGTCCACTTTCTCCATTCCTGTTTAATTTTGTCATAGACATGCTGCCAGATATAACATTATCTTCGTTTGACTCTTCAGGAGTAGACCCACTAGGAGTCTCACTTATTGATGACAGTCCTATTTGGTGAAGACGCTGACAAAATGCAGAGTCTTCTGACTACCCTAAACAACAATGCAAGCCTGTTTGGGATGCGGTTTCCCCCATCGAAATGCAAAATGTTGCTTCAAGATTGGGTTGCATCGGCACCTGAACTAGTGATAGGGAGTAAAGCATTTAATGGTGTCGACCACCTCACTTATCTCGGGAGTTTCATCAGTGTCGATGGCCTGATCTGTGACGGAATCTCGGCATGGCTCTTGTCAAGTTGCGTGATTTATGGCATAGGTTAGATATCCGTCTGCCAACCAAAGAACAAGTGTACTGCGCTGCCAAGATCTCTTCTCGAGTGTAACGAACTCGAGAGCTATATTGTGTACGAAAACTCAAGTGAGGACATTAACATCTATATTTAAGCGAATATTACAGAGTTGTTAGGCATATTTACAAAACCTTCCTGTAAATTATCATTTGCAAACAAATCCTTATTTGTTTCAGATTTCAGTGTTCTTTCATTTAGACTGTCCAGACTTCCGTTCACTTTACGTTATCTACAAATTGCCTTCTGTTCTCATTCTTTCCTTTTCGATCTTTTGCTGTCAGACGTTTGATTTCCGTTTGATATCATATATTACTTATGTGAACATAAGTAGCGCACACCACACAAGTACGAGAAACCATGACCAATCGAGTGTGACAGAGTTATCCACAGCAGGCCACGAATGAAGAATGACATTTCAATAACTCATACTTCGTACTGCAACCATTCATCTAACCCAATGAAATTATTATATGATAGTATGTTGGCGTAGATCAAGAGGGGCTTGTCAATGTGTATCACATTTCATTATCTTTACAAATAAGTTATTGACTGGTGTCTGTGTTTGCGTGTAGTGTGTACACAAACAACATAACAGATTAACTATCATCCAAAATTTGATTTATTCACAAATTGAATGATTCGCGATAATAAAGATTGGAAAATTTTGCAAACAAACATTAATGATGACAGAATTGAATTTTCACATTCATTTTCAGTTTGTTTTGTTTGCCTAAAAATACGAAAACAGAAATTTCGATCGATGCATTTACCTGATAATAGTCAGAACATCAATAAATTGTCTTTTATAATAATTGACATGATGGATCGGTTTTAAGTGAACATTCATTGAGAAAATAAGGGCTTAGAAAGTAACAGATAGTTGTTTCTTGATGCACATAAGTGACTGCACTTCAAGGGACAGAACATAAAAAATTTCATTCTCGCTGTTCGAGTGCTCAACCGTTAGATCAATGTGGTGATAGTCGAATTTGTAATCTCACATAATGAACGATTAATCATATTTGGAGGTTCGTGTTAAATTCAAAGTAAGGCTCATCAATTTAGTGGCCAGCGATTTGATTTCACTTTGAATGAATAATCCAGTGTGCAATGAAATGAAATCTTCCTTTCCATTTCCGTATATCATGCTCTCAGGCAAACCCCATTTGTGCGACGGCGGTAATAAGAAGCGAAATTCGGTTTTGCGGTTCAATTCATTTCATGTATTCATCTAAGCATGCAGATATGAGAATCAAATGTACATTTTTGGCGACCAGACCAAAGCATTGCACAAATTCATGAAGTCTCTGACAAATGAACTGAGCCATGCCAAGTAGGTGTAGACTATGTGGTTGGGATCCGCGAGATAATAGTACGTTGAATGACATGGCTCAAAATCGTCTGCAATAACACAGGTGCATACAATCATTGTGTTCTCTCTCTAATTTTAATGAGAATTCCTCATTACCTCCATTTTTCTCTTCTCAAATTTATTTCACTAGATTATACTCCCCGAATAACATTTACTACTCTGGGATTTAAATTGACAATTTGGTCTCTCCGCGCTAATCTGCTATGCCAACGTGAACTGATGTACGGACGTACGAAGTTCTACGTTTCAGCTGACTGACTGACTAAGATCAAGCAGAATATTTCAATAGAAAGAGTTTATTTCCATGATTATTTATTGATGAATAGCTACTCTGAACATAATTACCAGATTGAATCTGAATTTATCTTTTTCCCCCAAAAAAGAAACTATTTTCAGTAATAGTTAGTATACATACTGATTTAGTGAAGACACAATTTGTCCACGACCTATGCACACATAATCACTGATTATCATCGATTTTCAATCCAAGGAGATTATTGACTAGCTTCCCTCAATTTTCCTTTTTTGGCCATCAAAATACTCTGATCACACCATGCATACCAATCACTCAAAATTCTTCTCTTTGATAACAATCGTTGCGCGATATTTCACTGCATACTACTAACTGTATATCATTTTGTGAGTAACATCTATTATAATATCATCAAAATATTTCTGATTCATTTTTAAGCTTTTCAAATATTATCATTGACTGAAAAGTTGAGAAAAAAAGTACAATTCTCAGATAATTTCCAACTAAAATCAGGTCACAGTATTATTAAAAATTTATGAGTAAAATTGTGTAACATAGAAGGATCTATGTTTTGTGGTGTAGGAGTAGCTTGGAAGAAAGTTAGGGGCGGCCAAACCAAAACATGGCAGAAATGCATGAAATCACTGACAAGTGGACTGAGTCATGTTGGTAGATGTAGACTACCTGGTTGGGGTCCGCGAGACGAAAGTCACCAATGATTAGAGACCTTGAACGACATGGCTCAAAATCGTTTGCAATGGCGCAAGTGCATCCATTCTTTGAGCTCTCTCAAATCCTAATCTTCTGGATTCGTCAGCACCTCTACCTTTGTCTTTCTAACCTTATCTCACTGAATTATACTTTTTGAATAATATCTTCGAACCCTAGTCTTCTACATTACCATTAATACCTCTACTATCTTTATCACTATGGGATTTGATTTGATATTTGCGTCTCTGTGCTAATGTGTTATGGCAACATGAACTGATGTGCATACGTACGTAGTTCTACGTTGCAACTGACTGACTGACTGAACCATGGTTAAATTGAAATGACCTTTCATTAGATCGATAGAATTATGATCATCTACTTATGAGTAGTTCAAGAGTTTTCATCGGTTTTGATTAATTCTTCATCAGCAACTCAACTATACACATCTGGATATGACATAATGACTGTGAGTGTTATAATCTGTAGATTTATAAAAAATATTTGACAGTTTTCTTCAGTTTATTAAGATTTCTCTCACGACTAATGATCAATAATTTTAGGTAGTGTTCAACATTCAATAACCATGATTTTATTTGGGAATCATCGGCTGGGTGCGTTGTTCACTAGGCTGAAATCTTGTGACCCTCCATACAAAAGTTAATTAGACTTATTTTAATGCTATCTAGTGTGTCAGATATTCAATAAACCAGTTCACCTACAAAGACTGACTGAATTCTTCCCTAAACATCTACAATCGGAGGATGAATACTATTTCTAATACGCGCATCCATGAATCTTGCTACTTGCAAGATTCAAACCCAGGGACTTCGGTCTTGTGCGTGAACGCCTAACCTCTGCACCATTGTGCCAAATTCTAAAATCATCGTTTGAAAATCGTTTTAGTCCTCTGAGTTCAGATGACGAAACTCCTTCACAATCATGCACCTAAATGTTATACTCGTCTCCAGATATGCTCAAACTATTATGGGTTCACCTTAGTCGAATTACGAGAACAAAATAATGAACCAGCGTCCAGGTAGGCTACTCTGATCCCTTGACCAAATTGTACCAGCAAGAATTCTTGATATAGCGTAGAAAGTGTATTCTACAAACACCCAGCCAGAACACAATGAATCCAAGCACCCGATTTGTGTTTTTATTTATACGCCATAGAGATGTCCTTGGGACAGTCACAAAAATAGCACACTAAAATAACACAGTAATCAATCACAGTCAAGATTTTTTCTGGTGGGAAATGTGATCTCAGGGTCAACTTATCGGCTAATGAAATAAATCCAAAATGAAGATATTTATCAAGCGAGTTCTGGGGATCTAACATCCTCAACACTGAGCTACACATTTTCTCCGCCATCCGAGTATATTGTTCAAAATTCAATTATTGTGAATGATAATTGGATCAATTGTTTATAGCTTTGATTATCATATACATTGGAGCTTTTTCAAAAACAAATGTTAACAACTGAATGACTTCTACTTTTAAAATGATTTTTTGTAGGTTATCAATCAGTCACAAAAGTACGCTTGAATGAAAAGTTTGCACAGTCTAAACTACTACTACTACTACTTGCTTAAACAGTAAAGATAATTTAGTTTGATGATGCAAGACTGAAAGGTGTTCATTATAATTGCGTAGCTAGTAATTAAACAACCATAGTAGGCTAAAACACAAAATAATTTTTAAGATATTCAGCAAGCATCCTATGAGAATTATTTTTGGAAGTCTAATTCTATTGGTTAATTCCTACTATCAATGTCACAGACTTCAATGTTGGTTCATATTCGACCTAAATGTATAAATACGCATTATCTGTAACGTTTCATGACCCGGACCCGGATCCTTAGTTTGGGATCCTGATTCTCTTCTGGACTCGGACCTAGTACTTTCTGGATGCTTGTAGAATACAGGTTCTTATTCATACCAAGTCAATTGGGGTTGGGACACTCGAATTAGAGTAGCATGTCCTGTCGCCGGACCCTCGATCCTCGATCTCGTTTTCCAACTACGGTAAACTCGTAATAATTCAAGCATATAAAAATGATATGTTTACGTGCATATGTAACATAGCTTTTGTCTACCGGAAAATGAAATGAAGCAACTGAGAATACAACAAAATGATACGACCATTGAATTCGACACATGTAAGCTTCTTCATCAGTATATACCTTATTGATTAGGCTAGTAAGAACCTTTGATTATTACCCGTTAGTTAATTTTAAAAACATGGTAGGTTCCGGGGAGGGATAACACCCCTAACTGAGGCCTCATATGGTCGAAAAATGAAAATTTTGCTATTGAGAAAAAATCACTATCGGACATGAGAAGAAGAGTATTAAGAATGTCTGCGCCTGTTGGCATCGATCTGGGCTGCATCTTCTGCTATCCTACGCCATATATGTGTACACCATATGCTATACTGCTGCTATAGAGAGCTGAAGGTTTCCTATGAGACCAGAGCTTTGCTGTGAACGTTGTGAATGGCTTAGCATTGTTTTGGCAAGCATCGCTAACAGTTCGTATACAAACTTGTTAGCAGGGTGATAGATTTCATTGATACTTGTGGTTGTTTTGCTGGATTCTTGAGGGCTATTTTCATTGGGGTGCTGTTTCGCATGTCACCATTGCTAATAATAGTGAGTTTGACAGTCATGTAAGCGGGGTGGGTTGAAATGGCCTATTCATGCGGTGCATGTTGACTGACGCGATTATGGATCGGAAATAATCACTATTTATTTACTCATGTATATAAATGGGGCGAATTGTCCACCAGGGTATCAGGTACCTGTGTAGTTGCACTGTACACGTTGAAATGTCAACACTTGAGCAGTCTCCTTGGTTCTCCTGTGAAAACCAATGTAGAATTGCCCTTGACAAAAGAGGGTTAACTCATGCAATAAATAAGGTTCCGGAGAGGCTAATTCAGTCCGAAAATAATGCTTATTCTATTTTCATAGAACCAACCAATCTTCACATTCTTGTTTAGCCTTATACATTAATTCATAACAAAAAACTCTTTCATAAATTGAACTTAGTATCTTCATCTTTTTGATGTAAACTACTCAACCAGGTCTTATACATATTGCCATCATCCGAATCTGAATTTCATTACAATAAACTGCATGTTGGCACAAAATCCTTAGATTAATTGCAGTTAGATATTAACACCATAAGATACCGGCTCAGTGGTTCACAGGTTAGGTGTCTGAGCTCAAGGTTGAAGGTTCTGACTTCGAATCCTGCGAGTTGTGGGAGTGGTGGATGCCCACTGCTGATGTGTCCTCCATACTATTGAATGAAACGGCCTTGGAGTGCCTTCAGGTTTTTAATTTTAGTCTAACATTGATCAATTCATGATGATTTAATAGTAACCCATTACTCTCCACAATCTTCTCACGCAAATCGATTATACTTAGACGCCTTACTAGTGCTCGTGAAGAACAGACTCGAGAAAACCAGGCTGGTTTTCGACCTGGACGTGGTTGTATAGACCAC